ATATATATATATATTAATCGTAACAAATTTGTTATATAACGATCTGTAAGGCTATAATTTATTGATTGGTACGTGATCATAGGTATAAGTTTCCTTATAAGGATGATATATGAACGTTTATTTATATTACTGAAGTTAATTTATTTATTAAAGTTTATATGATTTAGTACTTCTATATATCATTTTAATTCGTTCAAAGTAAAACGAAAAGACAATAAACATTATAACACAAAGAAATTATAACACAAAGAACTTATAGCAACATTTAAAAAATGTTTCTTAATTATGCATAAATGTTATTAATTTAGTTTTGCGACATTTTTAAATGTTGTATATAATCCATGCTATTAAAGATTTTTAATAATATTTTTATACAATTAGAGAATATTTTTTAAATGTTATTAATGTGATATTTTTGTTACATTTTAATGATGTTGCTAAATTTTTGTTAAATTTATAAAATGATAATTAATTTTAATTTAAATATTGCTATCAATTATTATATTTTTATACCTCCTAAATTCCTAAGAGTTCTTTAGTAGTGTGTTTGAATAGTGAATTTAAATGGAGTAATTCATTTTTTTGAAGAATTTTAAATTTTTTGAGGTGAAATATCTTGTTTGGATGAAAAATTTAGAAAGAATTTGAAATTCAAATATTTGTGAAATTTCTTAAAATAGTAGAATTTTAAATTCTCCGGGCTACGGAGAAAGAATGAAAGGAGATATTGGGCTGTTTTATTTTATTTCTTGGCTATGATATATACACCTCCATTTTTTTATACATACACCCCCTTTTTAAAAAAAATATATTAAATTTATAAATTATCCTTAATATTATTTGAAATAAAAAAAAATTATTCTCAAAATTTTTTTTCGGAAGTATATTTGTACATAATTATGGAAAGTTCTTTCCGGAATACTAAAATTACTATTCCGAAAATAACTTTCTATCGGAATAATTCTGGAAAGTACTTTCCCTAATACTAAAATTACTATTGCGGAAAGTTCTTTCCGGAATTATGGTAACAAATACACACACTGTTAATATTCCAGAAAGAATTTTTCGCAATAATAATTCTAGTGTTACGGAAAGTATTTTCCATAATTATTTTGACGGAAAGTTATTTCCGAAATAGTAATTTTAGTATTCTGGAAAGTACTTTCCGTAATTATTCTGATGGAAAGTTCTTTTCGAAAGGCTCATGATATATACACCTCTCTTTTTTTATAAGTACACTTTCTTTATTTTTTTAAAAAAATTATAAAATATTATATATATATTTTTTAATTTTATACCTTTAACTTTCAATTTTCTACTTTTTTCTTTTTTTTCACACACTTTTTTTTTTCTTTCAATTTTTACATACTACCAAAATAGGTGGATGAAGGAAAA